AAATCGTTCATCAGAGCGATCTAACATTGTCAAATATAAAAAGAAAAAAAAAACAAAAAATGAAAACGAGAACACGATTATTCTCGTTCGTTCAACGTGTTCCATTCGGTAATGGTTCTCGTTTTGTCTAGCGAGAAATCGATCGAAACCGATTGAAAGCGATCGGTTGTTCAGCGTGGCCGATTTCGCGGATGTTCGGTCTCCAGGTCCGTGCGAATATCGTAAAAAACCGAGTGGATAACAATCCGCGTGCCCTCGTTTCTCCCACGAGAAACTATCGAGAACGTCTCCCCTTGTCTCTCGATAACGATAATTCGCGGCACTCACGCTCGATGATCCGAGCGAATAATTATGTATTTATAAAAAACAATTGTCCGAGCGCGTCGGCCACACTCGCGGCGCACGATCGAATTCAACGAGTCGCTGGCGAATAATCGACTCAACGCCTCCCGAGTATGTTGATCGATTCAACTGAATCTTTGATCGAATTCAGACGTCGTTTCGAGTTGGCTCGTCTGATTCAATTCACACATCGAGCAGGTCTGATGTATACATATACGCACACGGAGTTGCCGTGACGAGCAGGCCACCACCGGAAACCAAGTCCAAGCCCCCCGACGACATATGAAATCATCGATACGATTCATTCACGCGACTGATCGAATCACTATTGACGAGAAGTTGCCCTTATTGAATATCCTTAGAAGGATCAAATAAATGAATTTTGAATTGATCTCGAATACAACGAAGCGAAGGGTTCTTAACCCTGCATTTTAACATTGACACTGTTTTTTTTTTTTTTTTTTTTTTTTTTTTAAGGGAAATTCTTTGAAAATGAGCAGAACCTCGGGCATCGAGCATTTAAGAAAATAAAACTATTTGTTTTTTTCTTTTTTTTTCTAACGTAACAGCTTGAAAATTAATATGTTGAAACGTCGACTTGCTTGGAACGTGTTTTACAAAATGCGGCAAGAGTTGGTACGTTCAGTGGAAAGAAATGACGAACCAGCTCTTTCCTCGCGTGATAAGTGACTTTCAATGATAAATCCTTTTGTCGAGTGTAGTTCGTTAGTTTTTTTCAAATTTTGGAACGTCACGTCTTTTTCTTTCGTTT